CGCAACGACCATCCTTGAAAACGAGACTAACCCCCGAATGCAGAGATGTTACTTGGCTCGCGACTTGAACTTAACTTGAGCAAGTCGGCGCGAAGCAAGCAGCGGACTTCAAAACGCCCAAGTCAGCCTTCGCGTTTCATAGATGCTCAGGCTGTCTTGCTTGGTCAAGTCAAGAACGAGCTTCAAAGCAGAAACACGCTGCTCGCCTGCTAACGAGGGTAATTATAACTATAAAAACGAAGGGCCACAAGCATATTCTTGCCATTTTACGGCTAACGAGCGGCACGTGGTGCCTGCCACCACAGCGATGCGCAGTGTTGCTTCTGTAAAGCGTTCGTTGCCCGCTGGTTTTAGTGGCCACCCAAATGCGGTGCGTTTCTCCACGGTTGCTTGTTTGGAGGCGAAACAAGCATCGCGTTGGGTTCTTTCGTCGTTTTTTTTTTTTTCTCAATCGAACGCCATGGCATGTATTTGTGCTGACTTGGCTCACGAGGTGACGCGATTTTGACGGTATTTGTTTTTGTGTTAGCCAGTGTGCATGCCTGTTATGGGCTAGGTCGCAGTTATTATGAAAAAAAAAAACAAGTTCTGGGAACAAATTTGATTCGTATCCTTTTGTTGAGCTTGGTAAACAAGAGAAAAAGTGGGGGTCAGGACATTACCCTCAGCAGAATTCTGTCTCGCGGGGTGCAGCAATGTATCGCTGCATGATGGTGACGCGGATAAAAAAACCCGTGATAGGGGCACCTCTTTTTTATGTGTGTGTAATTTTACGTAGCGTTGTGCTACAAGCGATGCCTTTCTGAGCGAGAAACAGCGCCCTAGACGGGACGAAAGAATAGACGAGGCACTCGGACACAGCATCGAGTAATTTTTTTTTTTTTTACCGAAAGAGACGGAAAATGTCGTCGTGTTATAGAAAAACAGAAATAGCCTTTGCGGTTACGGAACACTTCGGCGTTGTCGACACCGGGGCTATTAATACGCACGTGTGTGTAGTCGACACCACCTGTAACGCAAGGGAACTCGGCCACTTCGTAACAGTCCGCCGGGTGCAGAAAGCGCACCAGCATCGCGTACAGGTGCTTTGCGATGAGTAGCGTAACTTTTCCGACTGCACGGCACACTGTCGACTACGGAATGCGGACGAAATTTCCGGTGACTGGTTGGAATGTGCCAGCGCTGTAAAACCTGAGAGCCATCAGTAGCTGTAACACTGGATGCACGGGCTGTCTTCAGTTGTCCCCACTTTCACGGAGCGGCCACATAACGAGAAGCTGCCCCACGGCGTTCTTCATGAATCTGTACCTAGCGTGGAATTGTTGCTCGTCGTACAACTCCATCGGATTTCCTTGGTCACGTAAAGCGGTTCCAAGAATCTTCGGCAGGCAGTGCGCCTCAAAAAATGCTACGCTTATGGCGAGGCAAGCTAACTCAAAAGCGGCCACCTTTCACGCGACGTCCATTCGAGAGGTGGCCATGTTGCAATAACGCGTCAAGTCGCTTTCAAGCAAGCCCCGCAGCTGACTTGAAACTTGTCCTGACTTCGACCGAGCCAAGTCGCCTTCAAGTCATCCGGAAGTTCGAGAACGATTTATGGCGACCGGCAAGACTGTCTTGAGTCAAGAACGAGTCAAGTACTAGTCAAGTAACATCTCTGCATTCGGGGGTAACTGGCAGAGAAGGTTACTACTCGAGTTTCGATATGTACATCGAACAGCCTAAAACATCAACCGTTCTCTCGGAAGCCTTCCCCCGTTGTATACACATGGGCTACGCTCCGTGGCATAACAGGAGATATATTGATAGAGAGAAAGAGAGAGAGAAGGGGCGTTAACCACCCTACGAGTGCTTTGAAGATGCCGCTGCAACGTAGCTCCAGTACCCTTCGAGGAAGAACAAAGTCGGTTCTGAAACGTCGCTTTACGCATCTTCACGTACTTTTTTGTTGGAGTGTAAAGTTTAAATCGTTTCCCAGTTTCCTAGAGCTTTGTTACGTTGCTATACAAGCCCCGCCACGGTGGTCTAGTGGCTAAGGTACTCGGCTGCTGACCCGCAGGTCACGGGATCAAATCCCGGCTGTGGCGGCTGCATTTCCTATGGAGGCGGAAATGTTGTAGGCCCGTGTACTCAGACTTGGGTGTACGTTAAAGAACCTTAGGTGGTCAAAATTTCCGGAGCCCTCCACTATGGCTTCTCTCATAATCATATAGTGGTTTTGGGACGTTAAACCCCACAAATCAATCAATCAATTACGTTGCTATACAAATAAGTAATAGCGTCCATCATTATCTAGCTTAATCATGCATCATTTTTTTGAAGAACGCACTTGTTGCTGACTGGTTTCAGCGGCATGCATGGTTAGATGGAAATGCTCAAATTATCAGAGTAACCATATTGGCTGTAATTGAATTGAATGTAACGTGGGGTAAATATAATATCGAAGCCGTGCTTTATGTTCTTGCTCCTTTTTAAGGCCAATTAGGGGAAGATAATAATGAACGCTGGCATTTTTCTTACGGCAATGTCGTTTATTCAGCAGTCAATTTTTTGAAGCTATCTGTGGTAGATTTATAATTAAGAAAGTCATTAACGAGCCACTGATTGCAGCATAATCGGTGACGTAGTTTTTATATGTAGCAGAAACAATACCTCTGTTTAGGCAAGTTCGTTCACCATTTTTTCAGAAACATTAGTGCTCTTTTGTATTTATTTAAGCAGGATGTACGTGTGTTGCTTGGTTGGTTGGTTTTTGGAAGAGTGGCTCAACCCACCGCGTGGGATTGGATGCGAAACGTGCGGCAGTAGCGCAGGTGTAAGCAGTACAGCTGGCGCGTGTCGCTGTCCCATTCAGCTTCGTCTTCTTGTCCACCATGATTCGCTAATAGGAGCTCGCCCAATCTCTATTTTGCCGGGGAAGAAAAACTGTGGTTCAATGCTTCACCAGCCTACCCTAGATATGAATATTATGCAAACCGAACGCAGCTCAAGCTTACAAGTGGTATTATGCATTAAATGTTGATTATATGTGGAGTTTAACGTCTCAAAACCACCTTATGATTAGAGAGACGCCGTAGTGGAGGGCTCCTGAAATGCTAACCACCTGGGGTTCTTTGACATGCACCCAAATCTTAGCACATGGACCTACAGCATTCCCGCTTCATGCATTAAATTTTCAGGTGTAATTGCCTAAACTTAGCTGAATCAATCAATCAATAAACAAAACTTCTTCAATCAATCAATTTTACTGAGTAGATATCTTACCGCATGTCATAAGACTCATAACACTGTTCCAAAAAAAAGATGTAAATATAACCACAAGTTATTGAAGGAACTCTACCTTCAACATCATATATGTCACAAGGTAAGCCATTCTACGGTGAGCAAAATAGCGTAGAATTCACAGGCAGACTACACACATACGCAATGGGTGGCATTTCATAACAATGCTCATAATGCCACAATGAATGTGGTTGTACTGGTGATCATGGGAGTGTTTCTTCAATACTTTGGTCCTGAGAGCCATGGCGCTTTCAAAAAAGTCACAGTCTTGCCGCAGAGGCGAAACAATGAACGTGATAGCAACAAATTAGAAAGTCACGCGCAAAATGACCACCACATCGAAACGTGCCCCGCGTTTTTTACGCACAAATGACGCATGAAACGTAACCTCAGGCCCCGCCGCGGTGGTATAGTGGCTAAGGTACTCGGCTGCTGACCCGCAGGTCGCGGGATCGAATCCCGGCTGTGGCGGCTGCATTTCCGATGGAGGCGGAAATGTTGTAGGCCCGTGTGCTCAGATTTGGGTGCACGTTAAAGAACCCCAGGTGGTCGAAATTTCCGGAGCCCTCCACCACGGCGTCTCTCATCAAATGGTAGTTTTGGGACGTTAAACCCCACATATCAATCAAAAGTAATCTCAGGTACAGATAAGTGCGAACAATCGTCTCAGTTGTTACTTCGCTGTGTCTGAAAAGCGCACTCTTTTTGCAAATGTAGATAGTGGAACGGTTGCAGCGACTTTTGTGTGCTAGGTAACTAAAACAGAATCATTCCGGTAAACGCCGAACGCCAGCCAAGACGTACAATCCTTCCTATCGCGAGATAAGGACGCTCGAGGAGCGTCGATCCCCTGCTCTTTGCGGGGCAAAGTACTCGTGGGAGATCAGAGAGTATTGCCGCGTCGTGACGATGTTGCTACGCACGCTCATTGCACCATCTTGCTGATAATGCCGGAATCAAGATAATCCCCCCCTTCCGAGATGCCCGTCAGCAGCGGTAAGTGGTAGATATAGATAGCTTGCCGTTTGAATATTGAAGGACGTGATCCTTGGGGGCTCAGTGTGAATGCCTGGTGCTTACGAATCAGAGGACCCAAGTTCGTTTCCGTGCACCGGAATCGTTTTTCTGGATTTTTTTCTTGAATTTTCACACACACACACACACACACACACACACACACACACACACACACACATATATATATAGGAAAAAAGTGTATACCTAAGGGCTCGTTTTTCCGTGTTTTGACACAATATTAATGAGATCTAACAGACAATAATGCCAAGGAATGTATTGGAGAAGTTAATAGAACCGATGTAATGTAAATGGGAAGAAAAAAAAGTGTGTGAAAAAGTAACTTGCCGTAAGCAGGAATCGAACCTACGACCTTCGAATAACGCGTTTGATTACGCGGTCGAGCATCGAACGAAGGCATCGAACGCCATGATTCGCACCATTCGTTCGCACCATTCGTTCGCACCATTCGTTCGAGCATCGAACGAATGCGGACGCAATCATTTGGGATTCCACACCCTCTGGTAGTGGGCGCATGCTGGGATTGCTAGCCGGTTCTCAAGAGGATAGCACTCGAAGTGCCGTTCATGAATGAATAAATCGACGCGTATAAGCTCCTTACAATCCAGATTTGTTCCTCTAAATCGTGTAGCTTAGCTGCCCAATACAAGATTGCCGCAGTTGCCTTGTAAATTGTCACTCACCTGTATTACTGTTGTCTTTGGCGATGACGGCATATGCTTTCTCGATGTCGTCCTCTTTCGTTACGTCCAGGTGTAAGACACATACGTTTGGGACAAGCGTGAGTGTCATGGCTCCGTCGCTCTTGGAACTGAGGCAGCCAGCGTAGACGCGGAAGCCATCCGATGCCAGCCGCTTAGTCAAGAGATGTCCGAATCCAGTGTCGCAGCCTGTCACCGAAAGAACACACGTAGACTTGAATACGTGAACGGCGTTATTAAAAAAACACACGGTGTGGCGCACCATCCACAATAGAAGATTGGCGTGCTGAATGACCACTGTATAAAAAATGGCAGATCCCACGTACAGTGGGAATCGATGATATGCGAAGCATCAATGAGAAATGTTGATATGTCACTTTAAAACCAGCAGAACGTTACGTAGTGGAGGTAAATGATTTCGTACGTGACTTCTGTATCATGATTATCAAGTTTGGATGTGTCGTTTAACTTCATCTATTCACCTCACGTGACACCAAATTGAGTATATGTAAAACTAGCGAAACGGCCGCGAGCACGCTATTAGCGTGGTATGTTGTCATGTTCTTACATGACACGCGTGTCAGGATTATCATGTTTGCACCAGTCCTATATTTTGTCATCCACTGACGTCACGTAACACTAAATTTGGTATATGTGGAGCTAGCAGAATGGCCGCGAGCGCATCATGAAGGGCCCAAAATACTGCAATGTAGCGTTGACGCACGCGCACGCCGGGCACAGCGACGCTACGTCAGCAAAACGCGAGCACTTTATAGTCTGACGCCAGGTGCGACCAGCGCGACCAGCGTCCATCGGCGCGGCCCGACGGCAAGCGGCGCGAAATGCGACATGCTGCATTTCGCGCCGATGCGTTATCCCTACAACTCTGCGTCTCCCTCTTTTCGTGACGGAGGCACGCCGGACGCGCTGAAACGCACATGCGGGAAAACAACGCCACGCGGCGCGCGCCGGCGACTATATGGCAGGACCGGCGCCTGGCGTGGCAACGCCGGTGTGACGCGACGAAATGAACGCCGGCGAGCACGCGCACCGCGTCACGTCCAATTGTATTGGCACCTTGACTGTGGCATGTAGTCATGTTCTCACATGACACGCATATCATAATTATCATATTTGCACCAGTGACATACCTTCGTCATCCGTTGACGTCACGTAATACCAAATTTGGCAAATGTAAAACTAGCGAAACGGCCGCGAGCACATCATGAACGTAGCATGTAGTCATGTCGTTACATGACACGCATCTCGTGATTATCATGTTTGCACTAGTATCATACCTTCGTCATCAATTCATGCCCTGTAGTTGTAGGCCCGTGTGCTCAGATTTGGGTGCACGTTAAAGAACCCCAGGTGGTCGAAATTTCCGGAGCCCTCCACTACAGCGTCTCTCATAATCATATGGTGGTTTTGGGACGTTAAACCCCACATATCAATCAATCAATTCATGCCCTGTAATACCAAATTTGGTATAGGTGAAGCTAGCAAGACGGCCGCCAGCGCATCATGAGCATGGCATGTAGTCAAGTTGTTACAATGCACGCATCTCGTGGTTATCATGTTTGCACCAGTCATATACCTTTGTCATCAATTCACACACTGTAATGCCAAATTTGGTATATGTGACGCTAGCGGAACGGCCGCGAGCGCATCATGAGCGCGGCATGTATTCACGTTGCTACATGACACGCATATTATGATTTTTATGTCAGGGTCTGTTGCTTGTGTTTGCCATGCAATAATGTCATACCATACTAGTTTGGCAACATGCCACGTGAACGAAACTACCGCAAGAGCTGCAGGACCCTGAAATGTAAGTCATGACATTCATGGTATACATGTCATGATTTTCATGTTATGACTAGTAAAATATGTTCTTCATATGGTCATGTTATGTCATACCAAGTTTGGTATTGATACCATTATCGAAACGGCCTGTAGAGCTAAAAGTCGTAGGCGGCTAGATAGATAGATAGATAGATAGATAGATAGATAGATAGATAGATAGATAGATAGATAGATAGATAGATAGATAGATAGATAGATAGATAGATAGATATATAGAGTAGATAGATAGATAGAGATTATATATAGATAGATAGATAGATAGATAGAGTAGATAGATAGAGAGATAGATAGATAGATAGATAGATAGATAGATAGTAGATAGATAGATAGATAGATAGATAGATAGATAGATAGATGATAGAGTAGATATATGATAGATAGATAGATAGATAGATAGATACGTTCAAAGTCCACCGAAGTTCGCTTAGAAAATGCGTCGCCTTTAAACAGCAGACAAAAGTTCGTTTTTCTTTCTCGATAAGTCGTAGCCTAATAAAATGACCAGTTCCAAGGCCAAAAGTTTCAATTTTGAGAGGTGTAATCATGAACATTAGACGCGAATACATTCCAACGTACACCTAATGCCTAAGGTTAGCTCACGAGGGTTTATCGCTCAGCTGCCGCCTCGTGCATTGACCACGCGTCTCTTATAATCATATGGTGGTTTTGGGACGTTAAACCCGACATATCAATCAATCAATCATGCATTGACCACGTGCCACACGACGCACTTTGGCAAAAAAGAAAGTGTTCCACACTCAACGCATGCGCTCTTAGAAACTGTAGTAAAAAGGTAGTAACTGGACCCGTTACTACCTCTATTACCCCGTTGCTACATATTGTGGTCATTTCACTACCTCAGTAGTATAACATAGGCAGTATATGTATGTGGTAGTAAATGGTACTACCTGCCAAGTTAGTAATCATTACTGCTTGCGTACGTGCGCATAGAGACGCGCGCAGGGTTCCCCATCGGGGGCTGGGGGGGGGGGGGGGGGTGTAAGGGTTCCGTAGGCAGAAATACTTTTTGGGAAGAGGGACTTGCTGAAGGCCTTGAATAAGACTCATTTTTATATTTATTTTCGGTAAAACCCACACAAAACCTTCAAAATTTTGGAAACGGGCCCGAGCCCTGCCCTCCCCCGGCTACGGGGCTGCAGCGAAGTTTTGTAGGAGCGCCCCTTCTACCTTACTATGTCTATGTGTCCAGCACCTTAGGACCCCCCCCCCCCCCCCCCCATCTTCTAGATAACTAAAGAGGGGACCTCTCCCCCCCCCCCCCATGCGCAAGCCTATGCGTGTACACACACGTCCGCTTCTGCCGTGTAAAGGACCCAATGGACATTAAAACTCCCTAATACAACCAAATAAAGTCCGAACGTCCACGTCCTAAGCATAAGCAGCTGAGGTGAGGTACTCTAATATAAATATATATATATATATATATATATATATATATATATATATATATATATATATATATATATATAAATATATATATATATATATATATATATATATATTATCCCATTGCGTATAATTTGTATTTGGTATCTATTTAGTTTGATAGTTTGGTATAAGGGCCATATCAGTGGTTGCAATAAAATCTCGCGTCTATAAATCTGCATCAACTATTGTATATTTCTAATTCACAACATGTGAATCTTTCGTGGTGGTTATTACCACTGTTGTACATACTATGTTTGTTCTAAGTTGCATTCACTGTGTACTCTCAATGGCCGTTTTAAATTTTGAGCGCTCAAAACTTCAGGTTTCTCTCTTTCTTTTTCAAATCAATGTATTATACGCTTTGCGTATTTATGTAGGATATATATTTACTTAATTTTTTAACCCATTGAAGTATAAGAAGAAAGCTTTGTTGTCAGGATTAAAAATTTTAGATGCACAAATGTGGCGTGGGTCTGCGCGGCTGGAACCATGTTACTTGTTTGGACGTGTTACCCGCCGTATAGTGCCTAGAATATAGGAACTATACAAGGGTCGCACGTACGTCGAACCCGGGAACGAGAGGACCGAGGACCGCCATGTTTGTCAACTATAAAGATAGTAGAGGTATAAGATAGTAAAAGTACTATAAAGATAGTAGAGCATTCTGCGCATGCGTATTCTGATCTCTCTTTCCTATAGGAGCGTAATAATGAAGTTAGTATACTAACTCCATTATAACACTCAGCAAATGGAACCAAAGTAGGTTATTTACAAAATGGCTCATGCAAATGCTTCCGAGATACGGAGTAATCTTACCGGTTATGAGGACACTCTTTCCTTTCGGATTGACCAGTGCGTTGAATAGGGCCCTGCGTGTATGCCACAGGAGCCAATATCCACAGGAAAGTGCGAGTGCGAATAAAAATGCGTTGGTAGCCACCAGCAGTAACAGTGGCAGGGACAGAACGACTGCCCACAACAGTACTGTGGCTAGGAGGGTTACGTGGAGAATGGTGGCCATGTTGTGACCAAGCACCGTGAAGATTTGACGACTGCTTCTACAGAACCTTCTATTAAAGCACGCAGCGAGTGCGAAATTTCGCAACATGTTAATGCGGGCTACCCTGACTACTATCGCAAATGAGTATGCAGGAATACATACTGTAGCAATGAATGACAACATGTGGTAAAGAGCGTCTTGCAACGCTATTTGTTTAGGTGTGAGTGATTACGCTCTTTCGTGGGTACGGCGCCGGGGGAAACCTGCATATTGCGAAGGAATTACTTTATGCAGTCTAAGGCAAGGCCACGTGGAATGCGATGACCCCACATTCTCCGGTCTTTTGTTTCAGGGGCGCAATTTACGCATGCTCCAGACGTATGCAGAACAGCACATTTGAAAGCCTGCATTAAGCCCCGTCTCAAAACGAACCTTGAATGCAAAGAAATGTTAACTGACACTGATGATTTGCGAATTGATATGGATTGATAGATATGAACCGTCACCGCGAAACAAATCAAACTCTCTAAGAAACGTGCGAACGCAGGCACCGAACTATGAACTGCAATTTTATCCGGGTACACATGCAGAGAACAGCCAAGAATAAAAAAATTAAAAAGTTAGGAAAAATGCATGCGTGTACACAAGAAACAACCCCACACATAAAAAACAAGAACAGAAGAAAACATTTACTCATTTTGTTACGGCATTGTTTGTGCTACAAAGCTGTAGATGGGAAGCTGCTGCAAGACACCTTAGTTTTTGAGCCCCGGTTATGGTTTAGTGGTTGTAGTGCTTGACTGCTGACCCGCAGGTTGCGAGTTTGATCGCCGGCCACGGGGGCTGTATTTACTTTGAGGCAAAATGCTAGAGGCGCAGTGAACTTAAATTTTGGAGCCTGTCAAAAAAAAAAAAAAAAAGTGGCCGATACTTCCGGTGCTCTCCACAACTGTTCCTCTTATGGTAATATTGTGGTTTGGGGGGCGGTAACACCGCAACATTTATTATCATTTCTATTATTGGCCTGACTGTCTGGTCACGAAGTCTCGCAATGACGCTAGTTGCACTAAACTGAGGTTAACGGCCACATTCCTGGCAATGCACAGCACATATAGGTCATTCTTACATATACCTGCTTCTTGATCTTTGGGGGGGGGGGGGGGGTAATTTTTTTTGTGGGTTGAAGTGAAGCTTTTATGAGTTGCATACTTTGGTGTTGCACATGCACTCTAAAAAAAGAGCGAGTAAAAAGGGTGTCTTTTTGTCCCACAACAATAATCGTCATCTATATTGCGTTCCATCCTTGCGCTATCGCCCCGCGCCCGGTACATTCCGGTCACGAACAACATGCCCATTATCACGGTTACATTGCATTCTCGATAGGAAAGTGGCCAGCACCGAGTTTTCAAGAAAGGAAGCGCACGCAAGCCTGATGACGATTATTGTTGTGGGACAAAAAGACACCCTTTTTACTCGATATTTTTTTAGAGTGTGGTATTTCGTCTCCATCGAAAGGCGACAGCCATGATCGGGCCCGCCACCTTCAGATTAGCAAGCGAGTACCGCAACCGCTATGGGGCGAGGTGCTCAATAGATGGTCACGGAAAAATGAAGGCGCCCCTAGTACTTCACGTAGGTATCTGGTAGTGGCACTCGCAAGTGGGCATTCCCGTTCGCCGGTGTATTCCTGGGGTAAACCCATTGCTTCGCCACGGATCTCTGAAGCAACGTACATAGAAGTGCGCGGTTGACATCCCACCTATACTCAAAAGGGAATATGTTTTAGAATACAATAAATCCTCTTGGTTAGCGAGGTAGTACTGTATTGTCGACAATGTCATAATTTTTCCCGCAGTTGTTACAGCAGGATCTTTGTAATATACCATGTCAAAGAGGGTTTAGTACTAAGGTTATCTTTGACCTGTGGCTATACGCTTTAGCAGCGCTACTGTCACAGATATCGCAGCATACCGAGGATGATGTCACTCTGTTCGGTGAGCATCTTTAAAAGCCCCTGTTTCTTTTTTGCTTCCAAAAAACGCTGTATGCGTTCACTTGTGCGAACTCTTACATTGGTTTTTTTTAAATAAACACGGATGAAACTACGCTTCAAAGTGACTTTCTTAAAGAACTGCTTCAGCTTCCTTTAATGCTACTCCCAAGAAAACTGTCTTTTTCTTTATGCACTCATTGAGTTCCTTTTTACAATAATCATCCTGACACTCAATGGCCCTAATAATAGGCGCCTTATGCTCCGATATCATATCGTATATTCTACAGAAGTCGTAACTGAACTTGAACCATTGATTTCATGCGGTGTTTTTTTTTTTTGCATTTTCAGAATAATTGTGAAAATGAAGTCTCCACCCAAACTAAAGTAGTGGCAAAAATGTCGCACGTAACTCGTGCCACTGAAAAAAAAAAGCGCTGCGAGCCCCGCACAGATGGAAACGAGTGCAGGGCCAGAGAGTGCTATAGTGTCAGTGGTTTATTTCGCAAAAAGGAAACTTCTCAGTCCTAAAAGTTGGTGTTTCTCCTCATTCTCTTGCTGTTTCCACACAGACACGATAATTTAAAATATTTAACAAAGTGGGAACCTACACCAGAGCTGAGAGATTAAGACACATCTCGCAAATCCCACACAGGCGCGAGCCCGTGTGAAGCGCTGCGACCGATCATTATTAGCGCGTAGGCCTGTCTCTTCCGATTTGTGAGCGAACGCGTGCCTGCTGTGCAAGTGTGCTGCTTTGTAGATTTCAGAGTTGATCACTAAGGCCATTAGTATCGATTTGTTTAGGCTTGTTCCGCACGTTTGTTCGTTGAGCGAAACGTGTAGTCTTTCGTCACGCGTGCTCATGCGTGCATAATCGTATTCATAGAAACAGGAAGATAAAGGTGAAGGTGAGTAATTGGAAGACAAAGAAGACATATCATCATCGTATTGTTCACGTTGAAATCATCTAAATAAATGGTTCTAACCATCGTGGCTCTTTGGTCTGTTCGTTCACAACATGGTGCCTTGACCGAGAAATCGAGGCAGCAGACGTGACGCCGGGAGCGGCAGCCGTGGAGCCGAGAGCTACCGACAAGAAAGAGGCCATCTTTAATCGTGAATGTAAGCCTACATCTTGTTCACCGTGAATCGAAATATTGTTTCGCATAAGAGGAAAACGTTGAGGACGCAGATAACGAATGTCATCGCAGAGGCAGAAAGAGAGATGAATAATTGAGAAGGCGTAGACGCTCTAAGCATAACCCTTAGCCAAATCAACGGCATCACGGAGAGTTTGAAAGCGGCCAATGTGCAGATGGAGTCATTTATAACGGAGGAAACCGCAGCAGATGAATTCGCGAAAGTAGTGGAATACGATATGAAGGTTACTACGGCCATTTCAAGAATACAATTGTGCATCAAGAAGTCACCGTGCATGATGGACAACAGTCCATGGAAATAACAAGAACTGAACCAACAGTGTCAGGAAATCAAGCTACTGATTGTTATGTGGAATCGCGAAAAATAGACAGGTTCAGGTTTGACGGCAACAAGCTGACGTGGCAAGGATTTCGAACGCACTTTGAGAGCGTGATACATATTCGACCGAACTTACCAGAAAGTCAAAAGTTCCACTACCTAACCTCTGCCCTTGATCGAAAGTCAGCAGCTTTCATTGAATGACTACAATACTCCGATAAAAATTACCAGAGAGTTGTTAAGCGTTTGAAAGAGGAGCTTGGCAATGAAGAACATTTGAAAAAAAAATCGCATGAATGCATTGATCAAGTTAAAACCAGTTAGGAACCCAAAAGATGTCAAACGTTTACGAGAACTTTGCCAGACAGTGCAAGTGCACACGAACGCATTGGAAGTGTTTGGAGTTGCAGTGCGTTCGTACGCTACAGTGCTTATGCCAATCCTAAAGCGTTGCACACCACAATAATTGTTTATTGAATACCAATTATACGAGAACAGAAGGCAAAGCACGCAAGACAGAACACAAACTTCAGAAAGAGAAAGCAACGTCTGTACTAGTGAAGATACACTGAAAGGATTGATAACATTTTTGCAAGAAAAAGTGAGGTGCAGAGAGTCGCTAGAAAATTTCGAAGATGGGAAAAAGAGACCTTGAAAAAAATGGACTAACAGATCAAACTTAACAAGCAAGACTTCCGCATTTCAGAGCTCCGTCCCAAAAAGATGATGCTTCTGTAATCTACCCAATCACAGCACTGAATTCTGCAGGTGGTCACTAAAATACGACGACAAAAAGAAAAATCTTCGAGATGAAAACAGGTGCTTTAGGTGCACGAGACAAAATCACAACGCAAAAGCTTGCAAAGCCACGGTAGTTTGTAAGCGTTGCCGAGCAAGACACGCAACTTCTATGTGCAGGACAAAGGGCAGTGAAGGCAGCAAGCATAATGACAAAAATGAGGAACGAAACGACGATATGGCTGTTAACAAACTGTGCAACCTGCTAGCATCTTCTAAACTGCAAGAAGAATGCCATCGTATTCTATTGCAGAGGGGCCATAGCATGGACAGAAGGTGAAGTTAAAGCATAGTACGCAAGAATGTTATTTGACAGCGGAGGCCAAAGATACAAACCAGTTTGTCATGAATAATTGGTTGCAAGGTACGCCGCAGAGAAAAACTGAGATTTGGATAATTTGGAAAAAAAGAAAGTGAAAGTGTTATGAACGTTGTCGAAGTTGCACTGAAGGAAAATCCAAATGGGAAATATCTAGTAATAGAGGCGAGTGAAATAGACATGATATCAAGGACGAGACTTCTTTGCCCAAACGACGATTCAAAGTCCTATATGAAGAAAATGGGAATGAAAATCGCTGATGACAACCATCAAAAACATAGAACGCAGGAAAGAAGCTTACTCCTAGGATCTGATTTCTATTGGAAGGCAATAACTGCGCGTATGAAAAAACTAAATGAACACACGATGCTAGTAGAAAGCGATCTAGGCTGAATTGTACATGGACCATTGGTGTAGAATCTTACGTCAGAG